ATATGTAGTTTCAAATAGCTAAAAGAAGGATATTGAATATTCCCAACACAAAGAAATGATAAATGTGTGAGATGATGGATTGAAACATCACTATGTACCCCATAAATTTGTAAAATTACTATTTGTCTATTAAAAAAAGACATAAATAAATAAAAACAAAAACAACTTAGCACCCTTCTTTTGTACCATTTTTAATTGTACATTAGCTTACTTTTGTATCCTGTATTTTAGAAGGCAGTGAGTTTTTATTTTGTCTAGTCAAAATGTTAATTTATTAATTCTTAAAAATTAATCTGTCTTTAGTATTTAGATTGCCTGTGGGCCCAGATTCAGAAATTGAAAAAGGATCGCTGGCAGGAACGGCACATCCTAAGACCTTATCTTGCCTTTGACAGCATCCTGTGCGAAGCACTACAGCACAATCTGCCTCCTTTTACACCACCTCCTCACACGGAAGATTCGGTATACCCGATGCCAAGGGTCATCTTCAGAATGTTTGATTACACAGATGATCCTGAGGTATGTGACCAACCGAAAGTTCCTAGATAGGGTCTGTGTTGCATCGTACTTGTGGTTTAATCTTGCTTGAAGTATGCCTGTGATACATTTTAATTTTGAGTTTTTTATCTAAGAAGGCCAATGGCAATGAAGTTATTAACTTTTTAATACAGTGAATGATGTCCCTCATTATGCAATAAATTATATTTGGCATGTGTAAATAGATTAGAGAGACATGCACAATGTGCAGGTTAAGGGTGTAGGTTTGAGAAACAGATTGGTTTGTGTTTTAATCCTGGCTTAGCCACATACTAACTGTGATTTTGGGTGAGTTATTTACCTCTCTAAGCCTTAGTTTCCTAAAGGAATAATAATAGTATGTATCTCATAATCTTATTATGAGGATTAAATTATAATACATGTGAACTGCTTAGAACAGTGTCTGACACATGTTGAATGCCTAATAATTTTAGCTATTGTTCTTAATAAGGTTATTTTTCAAGAAAAATACCTAGTTTTAGAAATTATCCATCTCTCTCTAGACAACACAGCTTAAGTTATTCATATTGTGTTATTATTTAAAAACAAATATTAAAAATACT